TACATAGGCCCATTGGCATGCGTTTGAATTGGAAAAGCCCTTTTCCTGGCACCCAAAAAGCAGTATACGATCGGCATTCTCGTGCAAGCGGCACTTAATAATAAGCAGAATTCGAATCTAACGTAGTGATATAATGTGCACCACCGCTGTTCTCAAGAGTCTCGATTAAAAACGGCGGTCGATAAGTGTCTTTCTCGGTAACGCCATTTAAATCTCGGAAATCGACGCACATCCGAAATTTCCCGTTCGGACGCTTGACCATGACAGGCTGACTTAGCCATTCAGAGGATTCGGCGGGTTCGATGATATCGTCTTCCAACATTTGGTCGACGATCTCGTGAAGCGCTTTCATTACCACCGGAGATCGACGATAAACACGTTGCTTAACTGGCTGGTGCGTCTTCAGCTTGATGTGATGTTCCACAGCCCGGGTTAACCCTAACCCCGGGGGCATCAAACTCCGCTGGTGCGCCAAAAATCGGTCCAATTGCTGTGTTTCCGTTCCCGTCAATTCATAGAGCGCAAAAAGGTCACTTGCCCGCCTAATTTCAGGTTCACGTTGCAATGGGTGCCATTCGCCGTCGCCGAACCGCCATTCGTCATTTATCAAATCAATATCCATACCGAAATAATCTATAAAATTCATACCAATCAAGTTGAGCGATCCAAGGCTCGGAATGTAATGGACCGGGAATCGCACCAATTCAACATCATCTAGCGACATCTCAAGGTCCAAAACCCCGCCGCCGGTCTCAATGGTATGATTAGCCATTCCAAAGCGGGTTGGAGTTACTTCGGTGAGCACCGAGCATCCAGAGTCCATTATCTCTGCAGCAAAACTGCCAAAAGCCGTAGTTTTGGCCCCAGTATCGACAATGGCGGTACTTCGTTTCCCTCTCAAAGAAATCACTACCATCGGACGTGGCAGACCGACCTTTAAGTCCCAATAAGCATCGTCCAAGACGTGACATGATTCGGATTCCGACGCCGGTGACAATAGGGTCTCTATAATATCAAAATCTACAAACGTATCAACAAATTCGGGAGGTACCGCATGTACTTCAACTTCTGCCACCAACGAATGCGGTAAAATTGCGTCTTCAGGCGCTATAGTCGCTGGTGAGGGTCGTTGTGGTTGCGGGTCGGCAGTTATTGGGCACGACCCGCCCCGTCGTTTTTTGGCAACGGCAATTTGCGCTGCGGGTACGTACAAGTTACAGCCGTGAGGCCTAGAGTACCGCACCGAGGGCAGACATCACGATGGGGATTCAGACAGGTCCACGCAAAATGATCTGTTTCACCGCAATTGTAACAGAAACGTAACCGGCGACGCAAATCTCGCGACTTATCCCCATTTGACGTCCTTGTCTTGGCTTCCTCGGCGCTCACCACCGCTACTTCCTCCTCTGGACAACCATCGTCGGCTTTCGGATCGGCTGGTGCCGCTCGGGAACTTTTAGATCTGCTTTTACGACCACTTGTGGACTTCTTCGTCGGTTTTTCAGGAGTTCCGACATCAGCAACCGCATGAATATGGGTTTTCCTCCTATCAGATCTCGACGAGCGGGGGTAAGCGCACTCAGCCACGTACGAGTCGTCCTTCGAAGGGGGTGCGCGGTACATCTTCTCCCTTCTCCATTCTTCTTCTTGGGCCGTGGCGGCATCTAGAAGCTCCGAGTACGACCTGTACTTCCTAGGAGGGCAAGCTCGCCAGTACTCGGGCCTCAACCCTCGCTGGGCTCGTTTCACCTGGTGGCGCTCACTGGGAGGTGCCCTCAGACGTGAGTATAGGCTTTTCAAGCAAATCAGGTAGTCAGTGCCATTCTCTTCCTCACCCTGGTTACGCGCGCGTATGTCTTCCTTAATTTCTTCACGACGCCGCCCACTGCGGAACCATGAGTTAAAATCACGAACAAAATCCGACCAATCATACCAGTCGTGGCAGTGTGCCGAGAACCACGTCGCGGCAATACCAGTGAATACGTCGGGTAAGACAGATAAACGATCGCGCTGACGGATAGAGGCACTTCGAATTTTTACGTCCAATCTTCGTAAGAACTCATCGCTCGTCATGCTCGAATCTCCCGAAAATTTCAGCTGCCAATTACGCGCGATAGCTCCATAATCGCGTTCACGCCCGCGCGACGGTGACCGATGCCTACTTGACCGTCGAGAGCAATCAGAGGAACATGTCGACATGTAGTCCGAGCTTCCTGAATGGTCATTGTCGTAGGATTCGCTGCTTGACGAGGAATGGCGACCCTCGCGACCTCTCGAGTCTTCGCCGGCATCCTGAAAACGGACTACCGGACGCGAGATAGTACACGTGTGACCACCGTGGGCTCGTGCGTTGGATCCACCTACCAACGCTTGGCCTGGATTGCTCGCCTGACTCCTCTTCGTCGTGGGTCGAGTGCCTGTGACGGTCGTAACGGTAGTTCTCGCTAGCGAAGAGGGCCGAGTAATATGTGGGATTGCGCTTATGTCTGGCATGGGCGGCCCCGACGCGTCAGCACCCACTGGTGACGACGCCGACGGAAGAAAAGGCGCCAATTCACTGCGCCAGCTATTCAAAATCGAGTAAAGTCGATCCTCGTAAATTTGTAGGACTTCAGAGAACTCGCGACGAGTGGCGTATTGATCAAGGGCAGCCTCTCCAAGCACCGATCTCGCTCTAGGCGTTCGAGGCGGACGTGAAAACGTCAAAGGTCTCCGCCCACCCTCTGTTGTCGTGGCGTTGGTTTGGGTAGTCTCGGGGACTGATTGGACGGGGTCGTCGTGTAATGTCACGATCGGGATCTCTTTTGGAGGATCTCGTGAGATCGCTCGGATATTAATTGGTAAACGATCTGGGGTACCATCGACAATCGGGTCCCACTGTACGTCTTTTCCTTCATCTCTAAATAACAATCGACGCATGCGCTTCCTCAGCGTATCTTCGTCGCCGATATCCGACACCCCGCGGCCTCTTAGATAAACGCGAAGAGGGCCAGGCTCTAGATATTCTGGGATGACCTCAGCGTGGGCAGGTATGCGATCAATTTCGGGATTCCATCTGACATCGGGGATCCCGAGACGCATCTGATGGTACCGGTTGAGACGATTTTTAAGGACATCTTCCTCGCCTCGTGTCGAAAGCCCGCAGCTGGCTAATACTAATTTTAGTTGAGCCAGGGGCAACTCGAGAAGCCAGGTAAGTTCCGTCGGCGGGAGAGTCTCTTCGA